TCAATGGGGGGTGCCCAGGAGGGGCAGATGGGTAAAGGCATGGGAATCTCAGTGACTTATGAGGTTTAGGACATAGGCCTTTGGAGGCTGCTGGTGTTAGAGCTTGGGAGAAACAGGGTGGGGTGGGGATGAGGCTGTGCTAGAAAGGTGGGGAGGAACACACGGAAGACCCTGCACCTCCACGAACTTGACGGTGATCATGAATGCCTCCTCTGGGTCAGGCCAGTCCAGCTGCCGGGCAGTGTGGCTGATCTGGGCAAAGCAGGTGGACAGATCCACTGCTGACGTGCTATGCTTGGTCAGTTCACCCAAGGGCACCAGCTGGGAGATGGGGGAACGCGCAGAAAGGAGGGCTCAGGGCTCGCCATTTCCGTGCTGCTCCCTCCCTTTCCTTCCCCAAGCATTCAGAGCTTCTACCACCCGCAAGCTCAGAGCTGGGCAGGGGGCTGGCTACGTGGGGATCAAGTAAGTCTCTCTGTCCAGACGCCCCAGGAAAGGATCAGTTTAAAGGGAAGCCACAGTTAACGCAAAGGATATTAGGAGGCAGCATTTTGCATACAACTGGCTTCAAGAGCATCATCGTTCATCGCAGGTTTCCTGCTTCTGCAAGTCCTGGGGTACAAGCAGAGCCCAAGCCCCACCCCCAAAGCCTGGACCCGGTCTCCAGTTCTAGCCCCACCCTAAAGATGAGACCCCGCCCCGGCCCCGCCCTGTCCAGGCTCCGCCCCCACCTTGTCCATCTGCACTGCGCGCTGCACTCGAGCCAGGGCCACGCTGTACGTCTTCTGTAGCCAGGAGGGGATCGCCGGCTGGAACCAATGGTGAAAGCTGTCCAGTGCGAGGACTCCGTCCCTGGAGAAAGCCGGAGCTCAGCCTGGGAAAGGCCGGAGCTGTGCACCCTCCTGGGCCCTCCTGTCCACGGCGGACACGCCGCCTGCTTGCCGCCCACCTCTCCGAGGGGCCCGGGCCCAGCTGGCAGAGCTCCTTGAGGCTGATGTAAAGTTGGAACAGACTCTCGCCCATCTCTGGGGATACGGGGCTGCTCACCGCCGCCGCCGTGTGGTCCTGCACCCGCTTGGCCACCTGCGAAGGGACAGTGTGTTGGGCTGGGCTCCAGAGCCAGGGTGGAGGGAATGGCCTGGAGACATGCCCAGTGAGACTCACCAGCCACTGCAGCTCCAGGAAAGCCATGGAGAAGAGGTTGATCTTAAGGGCGCTGTAGGAAAGGCAATGGATGTGACCTGGTGGCACATACTAGGGTCCCTCTGGTCCCCATTCTGAGCCTCTGCCCCACTCCCTCCAACCCAGCCACCTGCTCACTTATGGAAGATCTTGTTCCACGTGTGCTGGCACTGGTGCAGGTCGCCAATGATGTCCTGTACCAGGCTCAGCAAGGCCTTGCCCACCTCCAGCATGCCCTGGCAGGGACACAGGTGAGCTGAGCAGGGCTGTGAGAAGCGAGCGCCACACCCACCTCCCCCACCCTGCCTGAGGCCCCTCACCTGCACCATGGGCTGATGTTGCTGCTGCTTCAGGTGGAACCATTCGACTGTGCCAGTCTGTGGGCAAAAAGACAGTGAGAAGGGAGGGTAGCTAGGCCCAGGCACATACCCGCCCCATCCGCAAGGTGGGTGCCATACCCGCAGGGCCTCGGTCACCAGGTGGGACAGTGGGGCGCTGTCAGGGCACAGTTCTCTAAAGGCCTTCATCTTGCACATCTGTACCAGGACCCTGTGGGGGCAGAGAGACTGCTGCCCACATGCCCCACTCAGTCCAGCAGGCCTCCCCACCTCTGCAGGTGCCCCAGCTGTTCCCGCATCCCTGACTCCACTGACCTGAGGAGAGACTGCAGCCGGGCTGGGGAGTCCGGGACGGATAGGGGGAAGACAGACCGGAACCTCCGGATGAGGGAGAGACCATAGGCCAGCAGGGAGCTGAATGAGGTGGCCAGCTCCTCCAGCTGCAGACCCAGAAGATGCCATGAGGCGGGAGCTGCGTTATGGGGCCCCGACAGCCACTCCCACGCCCCCTCGCTGACCCCTGCCTGCCCAACACCCCTCGCCCCGCCCTAGCCCACCTGTTCTGCCTTGAGCCGGCCCTGGATCCACTGGTACTCCATGCTGATGATGGGGTGCAGAAGGCAGCTGCTGGGGAACTCCAGGCTCTGGTAGACACGGCTGTAGGCCAGCCACTGCCTGCAGCAGACAGGAAGTGCTCAGCCCAGCCAGGTGGGCACCTCCCTTCCCGCTGCTCACAGGCCTGGGGGGGGAGGGGGGGGAGCGCCTTCCGCTGCCCTGAAGTCTCCATTGGATCCTCATTGACCCGCGGAGGCTGAGAACCAGTGGCTGAAGGCAACCCGTAGGACTTTTGGGTTCCCATAGGTGCTTTTCAAGGGTGTAAATAATCACCCATCTCTTAAATTAGGATATTTATGATTTAAAAAAATCAGGCTTTCTTGCTTCTGAAAAATCATATTTGGAGATTTGAGCCTTCTTGCACATGTGGCAAACATCAGCTGGAACTGCCCTTTACACAGTTCCCGGGAGACTTTCCAGACGTGATGATGGAGCTGAGTGAGACAAGGCTCGAGTGGGAGAACGCCGGAGGATGGGCGAGGAGTTACGCAGGGCCAGGCCTCGGTACGGTCCCCACCAGGACAACCTGCACAGCAGGTTTGGGCCCTCACCATCAGCGCCTGCTCCAGTCTCCAGCCTCACCTGCATCCCCTCACCTGTCCAGGAATACCCACCTGACCACAGTCCTAGAGCTGCCTCCGACTCAAATGCCAAGTCCCGCCCCATCCCAGGGCAGCAGCCACCTCCATTCCTCCTCCTGGCCAGCACCAGTGTACCCTACTTCGGACTCCTCACGTGCACTGAACTGTCTATGAGCTCACGTTTGCCCGTTCCTGGCCTTCCCACAATCTACCGTGGCACTGGGATGACAGGTCCTCAATGAGTTCAGTACCATCAGTGCATAGATTTGTTTGCTGACTTGAGGCAATGGCACAGCGAAACGGGGCTGGGGGCTGGGGGCAGAGGCAGAGGCAAACTCAAATGCCCTGAAGGACTCAGGTGATATCAGCGAATAAAGTGGGCCTAATGGCAACCTTGATGGACTGGGGAGGACATGTTACTTTGCTCTGACCAACTGCAACCCAGCAAAATGACAGCCCTATGATGCCAACACTAAATGTTTCATGAGAAGCTGGAGATGTGAATCTGTACGGGAAAAAAAATCTGCAGATTTTTTAAAGTTGGCGACTGACTCAAAACTTAAAATACACAGTTGGGCCAAACAGGAACCTCTCCAGGGTTAGACTTTGAGCTGCCAGCCTGTAGGTGGGCAGGCAGGGAGGGAGAAGGTGGTGCACTCACGCCATGGACTGGTGGAAGTCGGACAGGTCCTTCTGCGTGGCATGGAGAAACAGGATGGTGTCAGCCTGGGGACTCAGCGACCCATCCCAGGAGGTACTGCCTGCCTGAGGGGACAGGTAGAGGGGTGTCGGGACCCGACAGGCAAACTCTGGCCCTGCCCAGCCAGCCCTAGGAGGGCAGTACCTGGTGCTGGGTGACCTCGTGGGACACGAGCTGCTGCAGCAAGTGGAGATGTACTGTGTAGCTGGGCTGGGAACGGCTGGCCACAGTGGCTCTCTGCAGTAGGGCCAGTGCAGTTATGAGCGGAGGACCCCACCCGGTGCAGCCCGTCCAACCCAGCTGGGCCACTGGGAGGCCCCTGGCCCTGGTCCCAGACCTACCCTCTTGTGAATGAACTGGAACTGGAGGTGGCACTGACCACGGTCTGGGTAGGTCTCAGTGCAAGGTTCCAGAGGGTACCACTGATCCTCCCGGCAGCGCAGCTCCTGGCAGGCCGGGCAGGCAGGAAATGCCCACGCCCGTGAGCGGGGGCAGGGAGGCAGACCCCCCAAGCTGTGCTTGGTATAGACCAAGAACTCCTCCCCCGAATCCCTCATGAACCCCCTTCTGCCTCTCTCTTGGGCCCATTTGCCCACCATACTCACCTGTAGCCTCAGCACCACGTTCCCCAGAAAGTCGTCCTGGCCCTTGTCCTTCCGGGCATCCTTGAAGATCCTGTCCCAGGCAGGGTACATGAGGGAGGTGGGCCAGGAGCTTGAAGGGGTCAGGCTGGGCTCTGCCCCCCACCTCTGGCCATCAGGCTGGACAGAGCCTGCAGCCCAACAACCAGTGTACATGCCAGGGGAGGGCAAAAGGGGCCCCCACTTCTTCCCTGGGGACCCCGCGGCACTCACCTTCGCAGCCCATGCAGATCTGTGAGCTCCCCGAGCTTCTGCCTGACAGACTCCACGGTGTCCAGGTCCCTGGCGGGGCAGAGGTTTGAGCTGGAGGCCAAGAGGTTGTCCAGACCCCCGCAGGACGAGGCTCAGCCACACTCACCCCCACCCCCTTTCCTTCCCCACGCCACAGCAGGACTTGTCCCTCACCACATGTCCAGATGGAAGCTTGAATTGTTTACGTCCTCAAACTCCCTGTAGAGAGAAGGTATGGCTGACGGTAGACCCTCGGACGATAGACACCTCCCTCCGACCAGGCCACAGGCAACCCCAGCCTCCAAGCTGCTGTCCCTAGTATCAGCCTACATGGAGTCTTAGCCCCTTCCTGCCAACTCCTCCTCCCCTCCCAGCTGCATCCCTTCCTCCTTTAAGGTAAAGCTTCAAGCTACCCTTAGATCAACCCAGCTGTGCTGACCCCCGGCACCCATCAGCACACGTGGCATTTATGCCACTGTTTGTTCTGTGCTGTCTGGCCTCTTGTCTGTCTCCTCGGCCTCCGAAGCAGACTCCCCCTCTGGTCAAGCCAGGCCCCCTCCCCCAAGCTGGGAAGTCCTGCTGATCTCACTAGGGGATTCCTACCACCAAGAGTAGCCCCAGATGCCCAGGCAGGGTGAGGGCTGGGATAGGGGCACGTACAGGATGAAGGTCTCGTCCCAGACGGGGTTGAGTGTCTGGGCGATGACCTGGGTGCGGTGGGTTTGCTCCTCTGGGATGGTGTGCTTCACCACAGCCTTCTGCCGCCGCCGAGACCCAGGGCTGCCCCCCGGCACGCCCATCCCCTGCTCGATGCCCAGCAGACAGTAGGGGTCACTGAACCCTGGGGAGGACGGGAGGATAAGGCAGCCAGGGCTTTGTCTGGGCTCTCGGGGAGGGTCCCTCATCACCCCGCACCCACACCCTGGGGACAGAGCCCTTCCCTACCCCAGACTCCAAGGGCAAGGGGGTGTTTGGGAGATGGGACGTGATAGGGAGAGGAAGGAGCCAGGAAGAAGGCCTTCAGGGCCCCCCACCGCCTACTCACCGCTGACATCCTTGCCCAGAATGCCCTTGGCTTGTTTCACTGTCGCCTTCAGACAAAATATCGGCCTCTGGAGGGATGGGGGAGGGGAGCCTGAGTTCCAGAGGGAGCGGGGGCTTCCCAGCCCCCATCCTTGCTCAGGGTGGCCCTGCACCAGGGTTACCTCAAGCTCCTGGACCTGCTGTAGCACCTGCTGGTGTTCCTCGGGTTCCATGTGGAAGGCCTGGTGGGGAGGAGTTTGGGAGGCTCAGGGCACAGGAGGGGGGTGGCTGCCAGGCAGGGAAGGAAGACCCCTGAATCCGGGCTGCAGGGGGGTGGGGGCTGGGCTCACCTCCTGCAGGTACTGTAGCAGTTCAGAGGCTTCAGTCACATGGTTGGGCTCAGGTTTTCCCAGACGGTGCAGGACTGTGTAGAGAGCTTCCTCGTAGAGCAGGGCCCGCTGAGGACACAGCAGGGTCACCTCAGAAACCCCCATCCACCCACCACAAGGCCTGAGCCCCACCAGCCAGCCACCCCTGGCACCGACGCCACATGCCCAAAGCCGTGATAAGGTGCCACACATGCAGCGGAGGGGAGGGGGTTGCTGCCATCAGCCTTGGCCAGGAGCTGAGGGGGCTGCTTCCCAGCACCTCCCTGTGCCCCCAACACTCCGATTCTTACCTCCTCAGGGGAGAAGTGGTGGGATGGAGGCTCGATCTAGGGAGCAAGATGAAAAGACAGTGTCCAGGAGGCCTGGACCGAGCCCGAACAGCAGGAACGGCGCCTCACAGAGCAGGCCCAGGCCCAGGGCTGCGGGGCCCAGCCTCCAACCCCACCAGCGCTGCGCACCTGTTCCCACAGCAGGTTTCCCGGGAGTCCGGACCCAGGACTGCCTTCCTCATGCCCTGGCCTGCCGTGGCTGAGGTCCATTGGTGCTCAGCTGCCCCAGCAGCGTGAGCTCTTGACACCCGTGGCCCCCACCTCCCTTCCTTCCCCAGAGGAAACAGCACTGCTTATCGGGCGGCCACGCTCGGCACCCTCGCAGCGGAAGTGAGGCCCAGCAACGAAGGTGGGAGACTGGGGGGCATGTCAAGCAGGCCTGGGGGTTGCTTAGCTGGCCCCCAAACAGCCCAGCTGAGCAGGGACACTCCCTTTGGAAGTGGAGGAGCAGAGGATGCTGGGGTCGGCCCACCTAGAGGGAGGGGGCTCAGACCCCAAACCAAAGAAGGCCCAGGGTAGCCCAGAGAACACATGGCAGACCCTGCTTCGCGGGCCCAGAAGGCTCTGTCCAGGGCAAGGGGTAGGCAGGGGAGGGGACCACACCCTCAGCCCCAGCCTGTGAGAGGTGGAGCCCCACACTCTAAGACCACAGAGCCCCACCCAGGCCCGCTCGTCTCCCCGCTGAGGTCACTCCTACCTCCTGAGCCTTTTGGGGCAGGGTATCCTGTAGATCTCTGACCCTGCGTCGCCTTATCTTGAAGGCCTGGCGCAAGAGGGGAGGGCGTCGCTGGGGCTGGGAGAGAAGTGTCGCCATGGTGGCCGGCTCTGCCCTTCCCCTCTGCTGTGCCTCCTACCACTGGGTGAAGATAGCGAAGCCACAGGATTATGCAAAGAGCCCAGGGCCGCCACCCTGTGCCAGGGGAGGGGGAAGGAGGCAGGTGGGGAGATGGTCAGGTCAGGGTTTCACCACCTCAGAGGCCCCTGCACGTTCCTCCCTCCTGCTGGCCAGGCCGAAATCCTGGGAGGAACTCTCCCAGGCTGGAGGCAGAAAGTGGACTCAGTGGGCGGGCCCGGCCCCACCCCACCCTCCCACAAAGGCCTTGGGGAGGGTCTAGTGCTCCCCAGCGGGGGATGTCATGGCAGGCGGGGGCAGTGGTCCTGCCCCATCCCAGGTGCTGTGGCCAGCTGGGTGGGGAAATGACGGAAGCTGCCCTGAATCGATGGGGTTCTCACTGACAGACTTCCCTGAACGGGCCGGCTTGGGGTGGGGGTGGGCAGGGCACAGGGTGGAAGCCCCAGAGAGGCGTCTCCCTGGCAGGCAGCCACCGGCTCAGCCTGCTCCACTCCACAGGTGACATTCCACCAAGGTGACACGGCCGAGCTACACCAGGCAGAGACGGCCCGACGGCCCCTGCCCCCACACGGACAGTCTGGAGGGTGCTCCCTTCTAATGCCCTTGTAGGGATTTTTGCCAACCCCAGAAGCTGCCGGGCGGGGCTGGCCATAAGGAAGAGCCTGAGAAGTGGTGCAGCCTAGCCTCTTTCGAGAGGGCGCCTTGGTCCAGAAGGGCCAGGAAAGTGGACACTTCAGTGCTCAGCTTTCTCAGAGCTCAGACCTGCTGACGCCACACCCAGGGCCTTCCTCCAGGCCAAGGCCTGGGGGGGGGGGGGGGGCGCGCAAGCCTGGGCATGGACTTCAGCTGTTTCCTACCCTCCCCTGTCCCTGGGCACCAAGCTTCATGAGGGTGGTATGAGGGTATATGCTGTGGGGGCAGCAGGCCCAGGCTTCGCAAGCCCCGACTTGCTCCCCGGGCTGACTGGGGCCAGGGCAGCACCTCCGAGGCGGCCGCTGAGGTGGTGAGCACAGCAGCCAGAACACAAGAACTCGCATCGAGCAAACTGGCCCCAGCCTCCAGGGCCTCCTACTCAGGCCAGTTGCTGGGCTGTGCCAGGCCCCAGGGGACTCAGTGGATGGGCACAGTCGCTGGGCAACCACTATGGAATGGAGACATGAGAGGCCTTAGTGTCTTGGGCCCAAATAGGCCATGAGAACAAGGGACTCTCACATGGGGAGGGAATACTGTCTCCCCAGAGCCTTCCCGGGGGCCCATGGCAGCCAGATAGCTCTCCTTGGTCACCACACGGAGCCAGACTAGGTCCAGTTACTTATTTTTACTACTTCACATTTTCAGCAAACAAATCAAGGTGCAAACAGGGTTTATTTCACATTAATATATTAACTGGATTTTTTTTTTTTTTGTCAAATAAATACGGAATTCTCTTTAAATAACATCTCTTCACTTCACAGCCAGTCCAGGAGCAAATGAGAGCAAATTTTAGTACATCCAGGGGGCATATCGCCAACCAGGTATGAAGCTTACAGGGACGAGGGCAGGGTCGGCACACGCCCAGGCCAGGCCCCCAGGGGTCAGGGCCTTTGCGCCTGCCCACCAGCAGCCTCCAAATGGCATCACGGGACAGACATGCGTTCTCCAGTTCCAGAAGCCCCTTCTAGAGGGACGAGAAGGCCAAGGGGAAGTAACTGCAGAAACACTAGCAGGGAAGCAGCAGGCGCCCTCCCTGAGCTGCGGCGGCCTGGCCTGATGCCACCCGACTCCTGGAGGTTCATGGTAAAACTCCAGAAATCGCACAGCAGTGGCAACACAAGGACGAAGGACAGAGCAGCAAAGGGAAGGCAAGTGTGACGGGGGCTGGAGGCTGGCTGGGAACGGAATGTGGGCTGACAGTCCGGCGGAAGGCAGCTTCCACGCGAGGCACAGGCCAGAGTGGAGGGAATGTGAGTAGGGCCTGCCAGGGGCTCTCGGGAAGACTGGAGGCTGAGGATAAAGGGGCTGCCAAAACGAGGGCGTTGGACTGTGGTGGCGAAGGTGGCCAGAGTCCCCCGGGGGTAGAAGCTACGAGGGGAAGACAGGAGCGAGGGGGGACACCCCGCACTCTGAGGAGAGCCCCAGGGGTGGCAGGAGGGCCGTGTGCTAAGCACGTGTGGGCGGGCTCGGGCTGGCGTGGGAAGCGGGAGGCGCATCTCGAGTCAGGGCCCCTCCCTTCCGTCAACGCCAGTTCCTGTTAAGTGTTTTATAATCAGACCTGGAGGAAGAACAGGCGGCCCCCCATTACCTCCCACCCCAGACTTGGCCCCAAGGGGAGGGGAAGGAAACAGCAATGAAGGTAGAAGGCAGGTGACGAGGGGTCTACTGGGTCTTCTTATCTTCCGGGGGGTAGTAGGGAGGTGGCGGAGGCTGGTTCTAAGGAAGGAAGGAAAGAGCACATTAGAAGGTTCAAAATGAGCCGAGGCCTCCCCCGCCCCTGAATTCTACTCAACTGTGGCCACCAGGCTCACGTCCCTGCTCATGGCCCCACTCACCGTGGGCATGTAGACGTTGTGTGGGTTGCCTGGGTTGTAGTAGGCGCTGGCAGCAGCTTCTGCGGCCTTGGCTTCGGCTGCGAGAGCAAACATACCCAGGATAAGCCCTCCCCGCCTCTTCCAGCTGCCCCCGGAGCTGCTCTCCGCCCAGGGACCCTGGCCCCCCCGTTACTCAGGGAGGCTGATGCTGAGGACCCAGTTTCATCGATAAAAAAGAGGTTAACATTTCCTCAGCACCGTTCCAGTCCCCTGTCCACCTCTCCCTCTAATCCCCTCCACAACCCCACCAGGTGGTACCGTCACCATCTGTTTGGAGCTGAGAAGGCTGAGGTATAGAGGGAGACCTTCCTGGCCCCAGGGCACACGACTAGCAAAGAGTGGGGGGCTGGAATCTAGCTCTTCACCCCCAGGCCACCACACTGCCAGTGACCCTGGGTATCACCATTTGGTGCCCCCAGCCAGCCTGTGGCCATTCTCTGAGGTTCTCCATGCAACCATGGGGAGAGGGCTGGTCTCCCAGGACTGCTAACAGCCTGGGCCTCACCTGCAGGAGTGGAGGGGACATCAGGGCCGCTGACTGGCGGTTCCATGGGCCCAGGGTAGGGCGGTGGTGGGGGCTGCACATATCCGATGGCCCCGTCCATCATAGGAGGTCCTGGATAGAACTCTGCTTGGCAAGAGAGTGGGACCCAGTGAGCAGCCCGGCCCCGGCTCCCTCAGCTGGCACTCTCCCAGCCCTCTCCAGCTCCTTGGTCCTGAAGCCGGTTACAGAGCAAGTCAACCCCCTATGCAACCCTGGCCTGGGTGGGGCTGGTTAGTGGGTGGGCGGGGTGAGGGTGGGCAGCAAAGGACACACTCACCAGGTGGGGGCGGTGGGTAGGGGTAGCCAGGAGGGCAGGGGTACATTCCATTGGCGACTGGCGGGGGATAGACATAGGCCCCGCTGGGCAGGTACGAGTACCCGTAGGCTCCAGTGGGGGCTTCGCCTCGGGAGGCTACAAGTACAAGGGGAGAAGAAGTGAGTGTCCCGGGGCTGGGGAGAAGGCGGCCCCGCCCCTGCGAGGGGAGCTGCAGGGGCCCTGGACGTGCACAGCAGACATGCCTTATCCCACTCACGTGTTGTCAGAAAAACGTGAGGGGTCAGGATGGGGAGAGAGGTCAGAGCTGGGGTGGTCAAGGACAGGAGTGGGGGGAGGGGGGAGGGGATGGGGTAAAGAATGGAGCTGGGTGAGGCTGGGGAGGCGATGAGGATGTCTGCTGGATACACCGCTCAGGGATTTTAAATGGTTGTCTAAAGGGCAGCTTAACGGTTGGGTATTTGTTTGTTTTTATGAGGCCACAGTAAAATATCCTTGAGTCCAAACTGCTTTCTCAAAATGTCCTATACCCGCTCCAGGCCGGGGAAATCCAGCCTTTCAGGTACAGGACAGACTTCCTTCCCAACTCCCAGCCCAGGTCAGTCCAGGGCCCAGAGACTACTATCTTGAGTGCTTAAAAACAAAACAGAAAGTAAACAAACTCAAATAAACAAGACCTCACAACACGTCAGTACCCTTGGCCCCTGATTTTTAAGAGCCTGGGTACCTTGAGATGCCATCTGTAACATCCGTTGTCCGAACTCGATGGCGCCCCCTGCCGTAAAGGTCAACTTGTAGGATGCAGAGCCTTCCCAGCCACCTGAGAAGGGAACAGTGCATCAACAGCTCAGGAAACATCAGTTACTCTGGTTACTCCGAACAGACGGCTACTTCTCCTTTTCCAGGTCCCCAATCCTACGCCCTGGAGGTGTGTGAGGCAAGGGCTGGCTTTGCAGCACCTCAGTGAGGTCAGGACTTCCGCCCCACACCAGCGCTGCAGACTGCCTGCTTCACCCTTTGGAACTGGGGGCTTTTCCTTTATGGAACAAGCTTGTCCTCCCACTCTCAGCCCTGTAAGGACATCCCTGTACGAGGGCCTCCCACCCCCAATAAAGCAGCTTCTCCGGAGCAGGTACAGTCAGCGATAACTAACATTTAACTTCAGAGCAGATCTCATCCTGAAGAGGCCTAAGGATGGACCCCTGGCCCCTCTAGCCTGACTTCTGCCAAAGGGGAACCGTGAGCAACTCAACAGCAAAGCTGCGGCCGACTGGGTGTGAGGGGGAGGCAAGTTGGATGCAGAGGTCCTGGTGTCTGCCAAAGAGTCTGCCACTAAGCAGGGCCTCTCGGGCATCACCAAGGGGCAGCTAGCTCTTCCTGGCTCTAGAGAAAGGCCCTTCCAGAAACCTGATACAGTTCCTGCCCACACCTAAAATCTGAACACACTTGCCAGGTCACAGCAAACATTTTTACACAGTTTGCAGTCATTTTGCTGATTTCACTCTCTGAAATGGTGATCTGAGCGGCCATCTTTATGCCATTAGTTCCTGTCAAACAAAACCCACCTCTGCTGAAAAGCTGGCAGCCCAGGTGTCGGTCTTGGAAGCTAAACCAGAGCCGGGAAGAGGACAGGCTAGGGTGATAAGGGTCCAAAGAGGACATCTCCAAGGCAGCAGTCAGAAGCGCCCTAGAGCACCTCTGGAAGCCCTGTCCGTGTCTCTGAGCCCCCTCGTCACCCACCTCCTGCCTCCGCCTTCACGGTTCCCTTGATGTAGTTTGCACCGAATACAGGTTGCTTGATCTCACAGTCCTTCATCAGATAAAACGGCATCATGAAGGACTGCATGGCATCCCTCCCCTTGGACAGAAAGATGACCTACAGGGAGAGAAGATGAGAACCATCACCACGCAAACCACGGCTTGCTCGGCCATCACTTCCTGTGTGCGATCTGCCCTGTCCCAGTGTGGGGTGGACAGCCCGAGCCAGGGTCCAGCAACCCGAGCTCTCTGTACCAGACACCCCTGGAGACAGCTTTTTAAAGTAAAAGGCCTAACTTGGAGAGGCCAGACATGTGTGTATTCACAAGAAAAACGTGCCTTTCAGAGAGCACGTGAGGACAGACTGCTGTCATTTAAGTGGTGGTGAGGAGGTGGCGGAGTGTGGAAGTGGAAGAGCCTGCCAAGTTGGGGCAGGAGGGGTTCCTGAAGCGGGAGGTCTAGACTGAGCTTCGCAGAACTGACCATGAAGGAGCAGCAGGGGGCGATAGAGCCCAAGAGAAGCGGGCCTGGCAACCTTCCCACAGACTCACCGCCCTAACAGCAACAGGTCTCACATTAATGTGCTTAGAGAACCTTGTTTTAAATCCACGTTTCTCTCGGTGACTCACATCCCTTGAACCACCAGAAATGGGGTTTTGAGTCTCCCCTGTGTCCGCTAAGTTCTGGTGGTTAAAACTTAAAGATGTACTCCTCTCTTCCAACCATGTAAGTCTAACTCTTGAGTAGCTACAGGCAGGGATCCTTCCCCAAGAACACCCATTCGTATTTCTCTGGAAGTGTCTCAGCGTCTGCCTGGGTAACTCTCAGGCAAGGCCCACGGTGCAGTTTGGCATGTCTCACTCTGCAGGGTTTTGCCGGGCTCTCTGCCCAGTCCGGAGGCTGTGGCCATGCTACTGTATCCTGTTTACCACATTTATCACTCTGGATGTGCACAAAGGCCTCATAAGGCTATCTTACAGAAATCAAATTAATAAGAGCCTCCCTCCTCCAGGCCCAGGTCAGCCCAGCAGCTGCATCCAACTACAGAGACTTTACAGCAACAGCTCTGGAATCTGTATGGATTCACTGCTCCGGGGTCAGTTTGGGTTCGCAGAGAGGCTGGTGGTTCTAGAACCCAGAGCATGTGACACAGAAATACCCAGAGTGAGGAACTAATATTCACCAGGTTCAGAGGCCAGTGGACTCACGAGGCTGAGGCTGACCTAAGGTGCATGCACATCAGCCTCCAGGAGCCATAAGCCTCCAAACCCACCATGGCGCTGTGCAACTCACCCGGTAAGGGGTAAGGTAGATGGTGCCTTTCTTGGTCCCTTTGAAGGCCTCTGGCACGTTCTTCATGTCATTGAAATTGAGTTCCACATGGTCATAGGTCATTAGGATGCTGTGATGAGAAAAGAGGAAGAAAGTCCCTGAGACAGTCTGGGGCCATGATCTGTTTGTTACCCCATGGACTGGACCCTCCTGGCAAGCAGGTGCCTGGCATGTTGTCTCTTATAACAGTTTCAACATTGCTGCAAGGAAACTATTAACATAGCCATGGAAGAGGAGAGCAAGTTGGAGTTGTACAGAACGCCCCCAAACCCCACTTATACAGCCCCCCAAGTGACCAGTGCAGAAGAGCAGCAGGGCTCTGGCAACGCCATCATCCCTCAGATCAGGTTAGGTCATCTGGGTTACCTCTATTTTCTTCTGAATACTTATGATAGGTATTCTGTTTCTGTTGGTTTGTTTTTTAATCCTCACATTTATAAACATTCTAAGACATGACTCTACATATTACAAAAGGGCTGACTTCAGGGTTCCTTTAAACCTGGGGTTCTTAAGCTGGGTCTGCAGAGACGTCAGTCCAGGATGCCCTTGAGATATCGTCTACATGCATTTTTCTGGGAAAATCTATAGCGTTCATCACTCTCAAAGGAGTTCATGGCTAGCAGAGTAAGGCTCACTATTTTACACGTCAAATTTAAACACGAATTTAAACTTTAATTACTGTATACACATTTTTTTTCCCCCAGAAATGAGGCTGAGGCAGTTTCTGAAACAAGGCACACCATTATTTAGCAGCACTGGGCCCTTAGCCAGGTAGGAGGCCCAACAGGACAGGTACATTCTTGTCCCAAAAAAGTCTCACCGAGAGAGTAAGAAAAACATCCCCAGTCCCAGGAGATGTTACCAAATGACATCAAACGTGTTTGTCAGGCCCAGGACTGGCTCGCATGCAGAAGCTACACACTGGGAGCAATGTGCTTCCTCTGATTATAAGATAATACAGTTGGTCTAAGTTCACGTGGTTCCATTTGTCTTCCTCCTCCCAAATATCACAACTTTCTTCACTGGGGAGGACTAAGTGGGAAAGAGGACTGGTACCAGAAAAGAGAAGTACAGCTCAGGGAAAAGAGGCCATTACCAGGAACAGGTTGCTCTGGCCGACTTTGAACAGGTAAGATGGAAGTACAGTCAGCATTCTGGGGTCAGGGCACTCTAGACTTCTCCTCTGACTCATCAGCATTCCCAGGTGACAGGCCCTGGGCTGGGTGCTGGCCTTAGCCGGCTACAAGGCTCTGATCCCACCAAGTCTCCCCTGGGGACTCAGGCTCCTCCTAAGCTCCTTCTGCCTTTAAGAAGTGCTTCAGGGTTAGCGTAACTCAACTAGGGCTGGCTGGTCCGATTCTTAATGCCCAAGAAGCTAGGGGAGAGAGAAGCCATCCAAGACGCCCAGTTGTTGGAGGAGAGACAGAACTAATTGGGGGATTGGTAGAAAGAATCCCTGAAGTTGGGAGACCTCTGCTCTGGGGAGTGGCCCAAGCCAATAGGTATTCACGAGAGAGGCAAAAACTGACCTTTACAGCTTTACAAGGACGGGCACTGCCAGGGAATGTGTTAGACATTTGCTAAAAGTGATCTATTTAATTTCACCGCTGGCCTGTTTCTCATCTGAGAAGTTCTGGAATATAATGAAAAGCTATATATTGGTAGTTTCACCTATTGACTTGGGAGTCGAGACTCCTTTTCTGGTATTCCCGTTACTTATAGTTTTGTGATCTCAGGCAAGTTACTAAACTTCTCTGTGCCTCAGTTTCCCTACATGTAAAATAAGTGTCTGTCGCACAGAATTTACATATTAAATAAAGTAGAAGAGGAGCAGTGCCTGATACTAGTAACGTAGTAAACGCCCAATAAACGGCAATTATCTTTGTCTAAGGCTCTTTCCAAGTCTTAAAGTCACCCACTCTGGGAAAGGGGCTCAAGAACCACCCCTAGGCCCCACCTGCCTCCCCAAACCCCGTTCCCGATCAGCAGCCCCACCCCCATCCCAAAGCTGATCGCGACATCCTGGCCCCTCCCCCGCGACCCACCCACCTTCCT